CCCCCCCCCCGAGATGGCCTGCGGTTTTCTAATACAACTGGTATTCTGCAAAAAAAACTATGTGGTTTATTGGTGTTGAAGTAGAGCAAGAGACGAGTGCACCCCCTCCTAAAAAAATCCTGGATCCACCCCTGGCTTGAGTTTTATATTACAAGAATAAAAAAAGTTTAATTAGGACTTTGCGGTTAAAACATTTGGTTTACAACTTTGGAAAAAAATTATGAAGCATAATTCTTAATTTTTAATCACGACTTTCGCTTGCCAACCAAACAAATTGTTTTGTCAGGCAATCAACTGACAAAGACTGTAATAGTAAAAACTATAAAACAATAAATAACTCTAACGCCTTAACGAAGGACATGACATTAGCCAATTTATTCCATCACCATTTAGTATTTATGGACTAAGCAAACAGGTTATAACGTCATCGACATAAAGTATATTCACTTGACAGAAATTCCAAAATAAGTAGCAGATTAACTGCGTACTGCGTAACTGCGGAAGGAGATCTCACGTCCATTACTGCTTTAGTAATTGGAAGTTGTCGTAAACAGAAACTGCTTTAAAGTTATATAAGATGAACTGAGAGGGTCACCTGCTGTACAACATGTTGCCGGAGGTTAAGAATACCAGATATTAGCTCAGAGGAAAGTCAGCCGTTGAACCCTCAAGAAGACTTGCTCTCTTTTACGAGTTTTGGCCTGAAGGCTGTAGGTAAAATACCGCTAATTCGGAAAATCCGCAGGGCAACTTAAATGACAAATAAACTGCTCAGTGTAAACCTACTCTTTTGTTTACCTTTTTTGGCTTAGGGGAACCACTTAAGGCAGAATGTTATGTACGATTTTACGCGAGTATCAACACACTTCTCATCGATATCATGTGCACAAAGCAATAATATCCTTTTTAAAGAAAGGTTGATGTTTTCAGGTTGCAATGAGCTGTTTGGTTTTGATTAGTTCCACAGACAAAGAGATATAAAAATAGGCCGATGACCAAACGATGTGAAAATGAACCGCATTACATGCACATTGCAGTCGTACAACTGAATTGCAAAGGCGCAAAAACCATATTAGCCAATCTTATTCCATCACACTCTTATGACATTCCTGTACATTCCTTATAGGACTGGGAGCAAATAGATTATGACGTCATCGACGTTAAGTATATTCACTTGACAGAAATAGTTGATTTAATCCAAAAAGCGTAGCAGGTTGACTGCGCGCTTACATCCGGGTGCTCTGCAATCAATGCTACGAACAACTTGAAGCTACTTTACAAGTAGTCTTATGGGATGAAACATTCGTGAACACTTCGATAGCTGTTCAAATCTATTTTATTGACAAATTTCTATGATAAATACATGTGGGTTCTCGATCCTGTTGTTAAGTTATTCAGCTTAAATAAATCCTGTATGTACTCCATAACACAATGAATTAAGTTGTACAATCTTTCTTTAATTATATTATTGATTGCAACGACATCCTACAACAACGTTGTTTCTATCTCTTATGCTCATACACTTCCCATCTCTTTCTCCAAGCAGAGGATCAAAGCAATCAAAACAACCTCTCTTACATTCAAGAACCACTTTTCCATTAACCATAAACCTTTGCTTTTCACATTTAGAAAATGAATGTCGCTTGAAAAGTGACCAAGGATGGATTCTTGAAGAGTTGGGCGACAAGGCAGAACTCATAATCTAACGAAGCCATGATAAAGCTTTAACCTAGACACACAGCAGTGACAGGAGTGCGGGGCGGGTGGTGGGGTTTCTAGGTCCTCAGGTCCCCCAGAAAGGAGCCATCAGATCATAAATACATATATATTTACAACGGGGAACCAAGTAGCTAAAAATGCTTTTTAACTGAATTGCCCCTCAATAATAATAATAATAATAATAATAATAATAATAATAATAAATTTATCTGGCATTCTATGGCCCATCTCATGTTCGCAATTCCGGCGCAATTCGCATTCTTTGAAAATGCAACAAATGCTATGCTGTAGGTCAATCAAGCCAGCCTGCGACGAAACTGAAGTTAAGATGTTACCATTATTTCATCGTTTATTATTATCATTTATTTATTTATTTGTTTGTTTTTTTAAGACATGGCCTATAACTTCAAAAAGAAGGTTTACGGAAGTGAAGTAGTTGATTATGGAGTCCCTTACGACTACGCCTCCATCATGCACTACCCGTGGACGGCTTTCTCCAAAAATGGCAAAAAGACCTTGGAACCCATCCGACCCCTTAACGGAAAGACCCCGTATGTGAAACTAAGTGACGATGACGCATTACAGGCGCGCAGGATGTATAAATGTTCTGGTGAGAAAATAAGAAATCGCCCCATGTATAGGAATCCAGCCAATTTTTGTTCTTGGAATCCGAGATCCTGGGCTTTGGAATCCGGAATACAGCTCAAGGAATCCGGATTCCCACTAACAGTTGGGTCCGGAATGCAAGTTCAGCTTCCGGTCAAATCTGACAGCTTCTTCCTCGCTTCTTTATAATTATTTTACATCTGCATGTAGCCTTTCATTTTGCAAGTTGTAAATAAAGTTATTGATTCCGTACAGCAAAAATTGCTGATTATTGTTTAATAGAGAAGTTACGTTGTTTAAGCTTAAAGCTAATGTTTGTGTTGTGCATTTGCCGACTAATAACTGACACTATTACATGCGCTGTGTTTGCTTATAGGACGCAAAAGATCCCTTGCACTTGATGAAAGAATCGAAAGAATCAATTCAGGTAGTAGTCTTTTTTCGACACTTTTATCTGTCAAATTTACATTATGTAAGTTGTTCGACTTTTCGAGGATGACCATGTTTTTCTTAAGGCCACATAGACTGACTAACTAGCCACATAAAACTTATTAACGAAACCACCCCGAAAGCAACTGATTTGTACTTAAATAGATGCTTTTGTTTATTCAAGTTCAACACAACCTTTTATACTATATTAATCAATTAAATTTGGGTTTTTTGAAGATCAGCAACAAGAACGATGTGAGGATATTGCAGAAACGAGTGAATGCGAGGGTTGGAAAAAGTCGGGATTTTGTCGCCAACACGAAGCTCTGGTATATTGGTGCAAAAAAACGTGTAACCTTTGTTCTTCTGGTAAGAAAAAGTGAAAAATTTATCGATGAGGCGAAGAATGATACGAAGAATTATGCACGTCATTTATGGTGTTGTCCACCCGCGCCGCTGTCTCCTTGTGACGACAATTTTCCAACAATTTTTCTCTTATTGACCTCAATCCTATCGCCTCATGCAAGGGAATCCGGAAAATTTTTGCTTTTAGAATCCGGAAACCTGGGATTTCGAATCCGATTAACGATTGGAATCCAGAATCCAAAGACTCGGAATCCAGTACCTGAAATCCGGAATCCACGGCGTAGAATCCAGAATCCAAGTTTGTATTGGATTCTTTTACTTGGGGCGAGGAATCGTAAAATAATAGAAAAATCATTAAATTCGGAAAGCAGCTGGTTGATAATTAAGGACTAGCTGCTTAGCAATCGAATTTAGGTAACCTACAAATGCAATGTGTATAGACAACACTGAGGAAAAGGTTTCGCTCACGTAATTACTTTTTAACCAAGAGCATTTTTAATATTCCAACATTTCAATATATCTTCAACATATATGCGTTATTGACCAAGCGCAAGGTTTTTAGGCAGTTCTTCTTTGGGTTAGCTTTTTGTACATGGTTTAAAAGAAGTACTTAATTTTTATGCTATTCACTGTTAATATTTAATTTTAGGATTTTTAATGTTATTTTAGTTTTAGTATTTTAATTTTAATGGAGGACCCTCCTGAAACCGCTCTTGGTGATGGAGGCCTCCTCTTAAAATATGTATTTTATTATTAGTATTTATTAGTATTAAATTTGATGAGCTTGTTTTGTGGTCTCTGGGGAAGGTATTACATTAAGTGAATGGTTATATATCCGATTTTAAATTTCAGATAGTTGCATGGACACAAAAATAGATTGCCTTAACTGGAAAGACTCAAACTTATGCACGGACAATCAAGTTAAGAAAGACTGTCCACATTCATGTGGAACGTGCGGCAATACCGGAACAGGCTGTAGTAAGTGTCAGTTTAAATGAAATATAGTACCACGATGCTTTAGCGTTTTTCTTTTAGCGACAGAACGATATGTTTCATTGAAAAATCGACGCTGAGAGATGCATGAAAGAATAACTAGCTGAAGAGAACTTCAGACAGGGATTATCTCAAGTGTAAAACTCGTTTTTTAAAGTTTTCATTAATTGTTAATTTTTCGTTAACAATAAAGTGAACGCGAAAATGTCGGAGTCCTAATCACATGTCAGCTACTATATAACTATTGTAACTATTACTCGACATCAGTTCCTCTAAAAGATTCCATTTCTATCTTCTGCTTTCAGATTCAACTCCACCACCAGCGACGACGCCCTCAACAAACTCCCCTGTAACCAATAAACCAGCCACATCTCAACCAACAAACCCACCCATATCGCCAAACAGCACTGGAGTAGGCGAGTGTAGATACTGTATTGCTTGTAAATTCGGTATCGTAGCGTTACTCTTAGTGGTTAGCAAAGCCTGGTTTCAATAAGCTTGCCTAGTCCTTGTCTAGTGCCTAGTCCCCGGGTTAAACGCTTTGGCAGAGCGGATTAATGAGGCCTAGGGACTAAGCAAGTTTTAAGCGGCAATATAATAGGCCATTTTCACGATGACGACATTTGACTACAACTACCAGAATTCATTTTTTTTTTTGCTTTCTTATTTAAATTTGTCAATCCCGCTGAGAGAATAATAGCTCTAATTTGCACAAACAAACAAAGAAACCTGAAGAATTCTGGTAGTTGTAATGAAATGATGTAATTGTGCAATTGTCCTATTCAGTCAAATATCGACGTGCCAGTGATTTGTCGCGCGACGGGAGAGACAACTCTCGTGAGCAAAGGCTACTTTTTAGGAGGTATTTATCGTGAAAAAGAAGCGTTTAGGTTTAATTACTCGCAGAGTGAGAATTTCGAAAGAATTTACTGACTAAAAATGTTGTTCACGGTTAGTAGTACTGGTTGTAAGGCTTTCAGTGGGTTTTAAAGTCCTCACTTAGTAAGCCTTGGGCATGACGAGAAAAAAATGAACTGGCGCTCAGTTTCATCGAAAAGTAGTTAAAAGCAAAGAAAAATTCGAACAAATGTGCTGTACGTGCACATAGAATTGTCGTTTTTAAAACCGCAACTGCTGTTTCGTCGTTCTCGTTGACGTCGCCGCCGTGACGATCTTAAACTCAATCTCAAAGAGGCTAACTTTTCTTCTGTCATCGCCTTTTTTAATAGGCTTGAGGTGCTTGGACAAACGCAAAAGTTGCAAAGACTGGGCTGATCGAGGTGACTGCATCACCAATGGTTGGACTGAGAGAACATGCCGGATCAGCTGCAAAACCCGCTGTGATAACCAGCCAATCAAGCCGAAAGGTACAAGCTCAGTAGCTTCTCTATATATTTACCGGAGAGAGGAATGGAGGCTGTGGTTCTTAAGCCTCGTGCAAAAAGACACAACACTGTTGCGTCCATTTCCACGTAGCTAATTATAATAGTTTGACCGGTTTCAGACTTTGCGCAAGTCAACTCCCAACAACATGAAACATGGAGTGCAAATGGACGCAACATGTAACATCCAAAAATGTTGGGAGTTGTTGGCCAATAATGTTGCGTCCGTTTGCGCGGGGCTTCAAACATGAATATAGTCCAAACTTGCGCAACTAAGCCCAAGCAAAGTGATGAACATAGGTTCAAATTGTGGTTTTGATTGGTATAGAAATCAATACGTAACTACGGAAACAGCCTACAGATAACAGTTCGCTCATGTACTCGCTCATGTACAATAGATAAGGTTATGCTCATACGCAGTTTGTTCCCTCTCTTTCAAGATTATCGCGGCCACACGATTCCCCTAAAAAAAGATCCGGATTAAGAGCGTAATGATTGAACAATAAAACAATTAAATCGTGTAGCAAAATATCTTGATAGGTCTCAGTGACTCGCAGACAACTTGATTATTCGTATTTGCCTCTTCTTTCGGATACTGGCCTGCGTCTTGTGGTTCCCCCTGACAAGCGGTCAGAAAACGATTTTGTCAAGACAGCATGCGCAGAATGGGACGAAGATTCTAGTACGAGATTGGAGTGAGAGTAACGTATGTAATTTGTTTTCAGGTTCCTGCTCTGATGGCCTAGGTCTAGGGTGGCCTGGGGACTATAAACTGCCTGACAGTGCATTTAGAGCCTCGACCGACTACAGGCCAGGTGAGCATAACGTGAAAATTGAATGCATGTGCAATCATTAATATGTACGGAATACGTTTGAAATTATGAAAATGTTATACACGCACCCACTGATCTATGTATTCAGCATCTAACACTAATTGAAGATATGCAATAAGCAAGCATGTTGTGATCATGTGACAGGAACGCATGTCAGGTGCTAAAACATAATTTTAAATTTTCTGATTCATACATACAGGGAAGTCAAGATGAACGTATGATTTAAGATACTGTGGGAAAAATAGACGCTGCTCCATTTGTACTAAATATCATTAAAAGAAAACCCTCTTTGGTTCTATAATTAATCATTCGCTACTTTCTACATGGTAACAGTCAGATTCCTGCTCCAAGTCCTAAATGACAACTTTTGTAAGACTGAAAGTGATCGACCTTTACAAGGTATTCGCCACTTTAGAAGCAAGAAGAGAAGTGCCGGACGAGTTAACTTTCGCAGAGACTACTAGGACTGTCAAAAGGTACAGGGAAAATATGGCAATTAGCTGACTGGAGCGTTCTCAACAACCATCCCAGAAACAATTCCCTTTTCGTTTCTAAAATGGTGAATACAGTGGAAACCCGGTAACTCGAACTCTGAAGAAAACTCTGAGGTTCGAGTTAGCGGGGATTTCCTGTTATCGGGGTAAATTTCAGTAAAAATTTTGATCAAAGGAAAAGAAATTTAGTTCGAGTTAGAGGGAGATTCGAGTTATCCGAGTTCGTGTTATCGAGGTTCTACTGTACATAATTTGCTCAATATGTAAATCCTCCTTCGACCGCTCGTAGGCGCCTGTTACGAGCAGAAATGAAGCTCCTACTAGTGTGCTTGTTCAGGATTGGATCTTGGTGCGGAAATGAACGAGATAATCAATGGTTACGCGTTGATCTGGGAAGAAGAAAGAGGATAAGGGCTATTGCGACACAAGGTAAAAAGGGCGGATAAGTCAAGAATAAATATAAAAAGGGTTTGTTTGTTGTTTTATGGACAGTGGGCTTAAATTAACTTTTAACCTGCGATCTGAGGTTTGTATTTTCTAATGCATATATTTTTTATTTTCATTTGATCTTACATTTTCTTTTCAAGAACCGCCAATCTCCCTCCACCTTAAATAAATCGCAACTTCTAGTGGACCTGTATGATCATGACTGACATTTCGCATTCTTATGACTGACGCGAAAAACTACACGTCGCGTTTGCTATCGAATAGTATCGCAATCGGATAAATGTAGCCAAAATCGATTACCGAGCATTCTGAAACACCATTATATTGCCAGGTAGAATTCGAATTCCATTCAAAGAACATAAAACCTAATGTCCAGCCAACCAGAAGGAAGACCAGATTCCTGCCTTTTTACACGTGATCTGGTAGACAAGTATATCACGAAATGGAGGGCATCATGTTTGTGAGCTAATTAGACCGAATACTTCTGGGGTGTCGAGACAGTGTCGGAAAAATTAAAAAAGGCCTTCTTCCTTCCAGGAAGATCATGCTTACCAACCCAAAATTATAGTTTTTCTTCTAGAGCAGATGTTCATAGTTAACAGCACCCTTTAAAAAAAGTCTTGAGATGCTGTGAAGGTCGGGTTTTAAATTACTGCAGTTTTGAGGTCAAGAGAAATGTTGTAACGAAGTTTAAACGAGTTTTATTTAATATAACTTAATGCGTTTGTTTTTGAAGGTCGTGATATGTTCCATGAACATGTCAAGGAATACAAACTGGCCTTTAGTGACAACGATTCCAACTACCAGGTGTATCAGGAAAATGGGAAAGACAGGGTAAGTTTCTTCCGCAGCCTATGTTTGATACTTGTTCACAAGATACCCCTGGAATTTTAGAGTGGCACTTAGGTGTTCCGGTCACACGGAAACATTTAGACGTATTTCTGTTCAAAAATTAAAACGTCAAAATAGAGAAGAAGCCAAATTTTTAGCCGCTACGGCCGAAGCGGTGTGAAAACCATAACCGTCTAAATTTTTGGACAGCGAAGGCGTGGGTGCATGGAAGCGTGGTCACTCAGCTGAAGACGCCATTTTGGATTTGCTAAAGTAACGCTTTGTCCACGAACAAATAATAAAACCACCAAAAGAGGTAAAATTAAATCTAGTTCGTCAGACTCTGTGTGAACAAAGTAAAAAAACATATGCAGTGGAAACCGCCCACCTTACGGCCACGCTGGTAGTATGGTCACCTCGTTATTGCGGCCACTTTTGTTCTTTACATTAAAACCCCGTTAATGCAGTGACCCGTTGATACGGCCAACGGCCACATTTTCAAATTCCAGACGTTAGAATCTCTTATAATTTCACCCCGGCCCTGTTATACGGCCACTTGTTCGAGATTTAGAAAATTAAGTTGCCTGTGATATGTCAATTTTAGTGACCTGGTACTCTGAGTCTGTTCTTGTACTGTTTCTAGACAACAGTACACATAAAGTGCACTTGCTGCGATTTTATAGCTGAATTTGAAAAGTGTTTTATGTACTGAAGGAAAATTTTAAGTGTAGTTTTTTCAATTACTGTACGCGATATCTTCATTCTGGTTGTTTATAAATGCGAACAGTTGTTCAAGAAATGCGAATACGATGTACGGTGTACTTGTCATTCAGAAATTCGACCCAGTTCCCCGATAATATAGCCAATTTTTTTTTGACCCATTGGTGACCGTATTAACGGGGTTCCACTGTATGAAACGCCGGGCTCCGCGTACATGTTAACAAAGGCGTGTTCGGTCAAATTTTTAGCCGGTTGAAAATTCGTCTAATTTGTTGTGAACGCAGCCTCAGTATTCCTTAGTTTCCGTATTTATAATTTGTGTATTTGTTTACGAAGTTCAATTCATTCTTTTGTTCGTGCTCATTTATGACCACAGCTGAAAATAATTTATTTAAGTTTAGCTTATGATATTTTCTTCCAATTTATAGGTCTTTATTGGAAACTGTGACCATTTTACTCCAGTTCTGAATACATTTAATCCTGTTACGGCCAGATACGTCAAAATCATTGTCGTTAAGGCCAGCTATCCATGTATGAGGGTTGAATTGTATGGCTGCGACGCCTAAAGATGGTGAGTATATTAGTGAACACGATCTAGAAATCACAAATTGATAATACGATCTGCCAAACCTTATCTTAAGTTTACTAGTCAAGAAAACTCCTTTAGATGTTCCTTTCAGCTAAGAAAAAATGCGACTGTACACCCGAGGGAGGGAGGGAGAGGGAGTACTGACAAAATATGGGCTGTATAGGAGTGTGCCGCTGTGAAGGGTGCGGTTTTCAAGCAGTTTACTCTGGGACAAAGTAAATACATCAGGGAGTTTGGGTCTAGTATAGAGTATCATTTTCCAGGAAACTGATCAATTGGTTAAAGATTTCATTTTAAACTAGGGAAACCGGGAATTGTCAATCAAAAATATAAAAAAATCAAATCGGTTTTGTTTTGGCTCGACTGTGCTAGCGACCTTAGTAGTTTATGGAAAAAAACAGCTACTCTAGGATAGGGGGAGGGGGATTTGAGGAGTTTAGTCTAGTATAGTGTAGCAAAATTAACTTGACTCCCAGCAGCACATCCCCACCCACCTCCGGGCCTCTTCATTAATATCAAAAAATAATGACTGACTGATTAGAAAAGATGACCCCTCAACAGGAAATCTTACTGTTTTTTTTTTCTTTATTCTTATCTACAGATTCACCACCGGAAATTTCTCCGTCAGATTGATAACATTAATGAAAAGTTGTAGATTATTTTAGAGTTATGGTAGACCCTGTCTGAGGGCAGCATAACTGACAAATAAACTACTCAGCGCAAAACTACTCTTTTGTTTGCCTTTTTTGGGAGGACAGCACCAGTTATAGGACTGAATTTTGTGTACGGTTTTATAAGAGTATCAGCACACTTTTTATCGCCCAAAGCAGTGCTATAAAGTAATGTTGTTAATGTGTCAAGGGTGTAATGGGCTGTTTGGTTTTAATTGGTTGAAACAAAGGGAAATAAAAGTTTATAATAAGAATGAAAACGATGAACCGCAGCATATGCACATTACGGTCGTAAACCTGAATTGTGCAAGCGCTGAGAGCGTACTAGTCTGCTACACAGCTGTTTTTAGTGTTGTCACGCAACGCTCCTCCCCACAATTCCAAGGAATGTGGTTCAATTCTCAGCACCCGTTTCTGGGGAGGAGCGTTGCGTGACGACACTAAAAACGGCTGTGCAGCAGACTAAGAGCGTACGCACAACATTCCGCTTTCCTAAAGGAGTTATAGTGCATGTCAATTACTTAATTAGTACATTTTATTACAGAATTGGCCAATAGGAGCTTGAGTTTTATATTACAAGAATAAAAAAAGTTAAATTAGGACTTGCGGTTAAAACATTTGGTTTACAACTTTGGAAAAACTTATGAAGCTTAATTTCTAATTTTTAATCGAGACTATCGCTTGCCAACCAAACAAATTGTTTTGTCAGGCAATCAACTGACAAAGATTTTAATTAGTAAAAACTATAAAACGGGTAAATAACTCTAACGCTTTAACGAAGGACATGACATTAGCAATCTGAGTTATTCCATCACTATTTACTACTAGTATTTCTATGGGACAAAGCAAACAGGTTATAACGTCATCGACGTTAAGTATATTCAATTGTTATGACAGAAATTCAAAAAATGTAGCAGATTAACGGTGCACTGCGTAACTGCGGAAAGAGATCTCACGTGCGTCCATTACTGCTTTAGTAACTGGAAGTTGTCTTAAACAGAAAATGCTTTAAAGTTATATAAGATGAGCTGACAGGGTCACCTGCTGTACAACATGTTGCCGGAGGTTAAGAATACCAGATATTAGCTCAGAAGAAAGTCAGCCGTTGAACCCTCAAGTAGACTTGCTCTCTTTTATGAGTTTTGGCCTGAGGCCTGAAGGTAAAACACCGCTAATTTGGAAAATCCCAAGGGCAACTTAAATGACAAATAAACTGCTCAGTGTAAAACTACTCTTTTGTTTGCCTTTTTTGGCTTAGGGGAGGACCCACTTAAGACAAAATGTTATGTACGATTTTACCCGAGTATCAACACACACTTGGAAGAAGATTATACAATAACAACATTTTTTGAAAACATTCTCAAATGTTTTGCAACGGACTAATTAAATTCAAGGATCAACTATGCAACCGTTCAAAAATATAAAACCGTTTGAACTAACCTGAAATCTCTGAATGTTATTCGTCCGTTTGCAAACAGAAACAAAATTGAGAATCTTTGGTTTTCAAAACACGTAAGTTGTGATTGGATAATCTTCTTCCAAGTGTCCCAAATCGAGTACTCGCTCTCTAACGACTAGTCGTGCAAGTCAAAGTTAGTAACATTTTATCTCAGAATTAGCCGATAGTTGCTCGCGTTTATATATTACCAGTGTAAGAAATCAACAAAAGAGTTTTGCGGTTCAAAACTTTTGGTTTATAACCCTGCTGATATGCATTTCTTTGATAAAAAGTATCGTGAAACCATTTAATAACTTTAACATAGAACACGTTATTAGCCAATCTTATTCCATCACACTCTTATGACATTCCTGTGCATTCCATTAATAGGACTGGGAGCAAATAGATTATGACGTCATCGACGTTAAGTATAGTCACTTGAGAAATAGTTGATTTAATCCAAAAACGCGCGCTTCCTTCCGGGTGCTCTGCAATCAATGCTACGAAAAACTTGAAGTTACTTTACAAGTAGTCTTATGGGATGAAACATTCGTGAACAAATCGAAAGCTGTTCAAATCTAGTTTATTGACAAATTTCTATGATAAATACATGTGGGCTCTCGATCCTGTTGTTAACTTATTCAGCTTAAATAAATCCTGTATGTGCTCCATAACACAATTAATTAACTTATACATGATCTTTCTTCAACTATGCTATTGTCTGCAACGACATCCTACAACAACGTTGTTTCTATCTCTGATGCTCACACACGTCCCATCTCCTGCTCCAAGCAGAGGATCAAAGCAATCAAAAGTTGGAGAGAATGTAAGTTCTTGGTGAAAAGGTAATTGGTATTTGGAAACGAAAAGTGTAAATCTTTTACTTACAGCGAACTTTTCACTGGTTCCTACCTAAGAACTTCTCAACCCGCTGTTCCGTCTTGAGCGCTGAGCCAACGCACTGGAATGAACGGCTTTTGTAATGTCCTCCCTTGGTTTACAAGATACCTCGTAGGATAACAACAGGAGAAAAAGTGCCAAAAGAATATTTTCCTGTAAAAAGGAACGGCTCGTTAGATAGAATTGTGTGCTTTTCTCTAGACTGATTGAGCGGGTAGAGATAGAACTCTTTTACATGCAGCCGTGCTTTGACGCCCCTTAGCTTGTGATACTTAAGTCGCGTCCTCATTGACCGTATTACTGAAGGACAAAGAGTGAATGGAGTTAACTCTTACTAAAAGACTTCTTTTTATATCATGAAGCCATGTTTTCATTAAAAATGTGATGTACAGTTATAGGGGCGAGCTTAGTGGAAAGAAAACTCTGAGAAAATCAGTCTCAGTTATTAAGTACTATTTAGTATAAGTACGTGTTTTGAACCTCCTTAAATCTAACTCTGTGAAAAACGTGGTAACACACGAGTGGATTCCGAATAAAAGAAGTTTCATATCATTATATACTTACTGCGGAAAGAGATCTCACTATCACGTCCATAACTGCTTCAGTAATTGGAAGTTGTCTAAAACAGGATATGCTTTAAAGTTATATAAATTGAGCTCAGAGGGTCACCCGCTGTAAAACATGTTGACTGAGGTTAAGAATGCCAGATATTAGCTCAGAGGAAAGTCAGCCATTGAACCCTCAGGTAGACTTGCTCTCTTTTATGAGATTTGGCCTGAAGCCTGAAGGTAAAACACCGCTAATACGAAAAATCCGGAGCGCAATGCCTGGAGCTAACACAAACCGCCGGCAATGTTAACATTCTCATCCACAAATCCACCACCGGAAGTTAGACTGATAATAAAGCAACCGTATAGAGATTTTATAGCACTGAGCTATAGGTTAAGCGCAACGTAAATGGCGAATACACTGCTCAGTGAAAAAATAGCTGTTAAAATACTCTATTCTCTCCTTTTTGTCTAAGTTACTAACGCCAAGTCCGTATGTGTAGGGTTTTAGGCAAACTTTATGTTTCTAATGTGCTGTGGTGCAATGGTTTAAAAAAAGGGAAATATAAATGAAATTAAGGATGGGTATGAATCACACTACATACACATTGCGGGCCGGTCGTACAACTAAAATGCGCAGGTTCAGACAGCTGAAAATGCCCTCATCATCAAGATAGAAGAAAAAGAACAACAAATTAATGCTCCTATAGCCTTAACATCTTCAATGGTCTTACTCAAATGAAACACAAAACAATCGAGTGGTATGGTGTTAAAATAGATCGATAAATAATTGCAACATCATTCCTTTATAAAGGGAGAAGTTGTGCAAGCAAATTATGTTCACAAGACACGGCTGGAGTTTTCGACTGATTGAAACTCGTACGTTTAGGTGTTCCGCTCACACGGAAACAATTTAACGGTCCGAAAATTTAGACGCCTAGCCGTTAAAAACTGGGAGGCCAAAATAAAGAACAGGCCAAACTTTTAGCCGTTACGGTCAAAATGTTGACACACGCGGTATGAAAAACCATAACCGTCTTAAGTTTTGTACTGCAAAGGCACGGTCATCTTAGCTGGAAGACACCATTGTGGATTTGCTATAGTGCTCCGCGCATGAGCAGATAATAAAACCGTTAAAAAGGTTAAAATTAAATCTGGTTCGTCAGGTCCCGTGTGGACAGAGAGAAACGGGTCCCTGTTAACGAAGCAGTGAGTAGTCAAATATTTCCAGTTAACGTGGCCTCAATATTCTTTTTATAATGCGATTTGTGTATTGTATGAAATATGAACGACGCACTCTTTTGTTCGTGGTCATTTATGACAACAGCTGAAAATAATTTCAGTATATAAGTTCAATTTTACCTATTCCTTTAATTTATAGGTCTGTATTGCAAACTGTGACCATTTCACTCCTGTTTTG